ATAAATTTCATTGTATATATAATAAATCATATTCACTTACCAGTGCAGCTCACAGCAATACCTTCATGAGGTGCTCTATAATAACCAGGCAGACACTGGCAGGATACAGAACCAGGACTAGCTGAGTAACTGTTATCAGGACAACCATTGCATTCACTGTCTCCTGTGAATGGCTTGTAGGTGCCTTCTTCACAAGCTACAGTGGACATAAATTATTGATTACTATGACATTGAATGTGTGTGGCTGTGACAAGAAGTAAATGAATTTTAAAGATCAAAGTAGCCACAAATAGTAACATGTGGGATTAGCCATAACATTTACAACTAAAATCAGGGATATAATAGACTACGTAACGTTAGTCTATTATATCACTGATAAAATTAATAAAAAATCTGTACCTTGACAAACTGTACCATTAGCTTCATATCCAGGGTTACATTGACATGAAGCTGATCCACCCCACACTCCTAATAACCTACAACTTAAACTTAAACTATTTGATGATGCAGGACTAGCATTATCAATACAAGCAGCATTCACGTTTTTATCTGGATCAAAAACCCCTTGGGGAGCTACTGTCTCTGGATAGACAGCTTTATTCAATATCTGATAAGGACAGATATTGTAGAATACCACAATCCGATTAATGACAGTACAAGATCCTTGGTCCCATATAGCCAGATACAGACCAGAACTAGATACAGCAAATGACTCAGAGTCTGTAGTAGCTCCTTCCTCAGCAGTGTGTATCAGACGAACACCAGCATATGAATAAAAGCTGATATTCCCTCTGTTCATGTCATCTGATTCATTAGTTTCATATGTCTGCACTTCAAATGTCTGCTGCTGGGCACACTGCTGGCTTGAGCATACCAAACTTGATGAAAAAGTTACATTTATTCTTAATTGGCTTATTCCTGGTTCACTAATATTAATGTATTGTGTTATCAACCAGTTGCTCTGGAATGAAGATGTTCCTCCAGGGATCAGGGTAGCACAAACATGGAGTCGATGTAAGCATTGTACTCCTTGATTACCTTCATACCACTACATGAGATAATAACAAGATAATAATAACAAATAATAATCTTACAGAATCAACAAATTCACCAGCACCAGGTCGACCCACTCCCCCTCCATCATAATCAATAGTCAGCCATGTCCTATTTTCTCCCTCTGCTCCAACAAGAAGAGTTGACCTGTAGTTCTGTGAGTCCATTAAAATCTTTTCATTAGGGAAGGTGACATTTCTTATTGGTATATCTAAACAATCAGGGTCAGCATCATCAGGAGCAACACTTTGAGAAGAGACACACTGAAAGAAACTTAAACTGCCCAGCAGTAAAAGAAAAAAACAGAGTAGAGTAGACATGATATCTTGAAGTGTTCTTCTTCACTCAGCAAACTGTGTATTCATGCCCTTTATGCTGACTGTTAGTTATTATTAGACTTGCAGTGCACGTGCTTGTATAATAATACAAGCATGTGCATAGCAAGCTACATGTAAGTGGTTTAGGTTGCATTAACATTATTAGTATTTTTAAAATAATAATGATAATAATTGTGACAAATATAAACAACACAATAAATAATAAAAATGTTTCTTGATAATTATTATAAAGTAAGTACTATCTCCTTCCTTTCCTAAAGCAACACACAGTTAATCCCTACCTCTCTCTTCCTCACTCTCTCTCTCTCTCTCACCTTCTATCCTGAAAGGCTTGTAATGTTTGCAGGTGAAGTGCCCGTGCCTCCATAGCCTGTGACTGTCTGCTGGTGTGAGTTGACATGTACAATGGCACATTCATAACCTACAATGTGCATGTGCATAATGTATATACATGTAGTTTGAATTGACACTTCTCTCTAGTACCTTTACTTGTCCTGCATTAGTTAGTGATGGTAATAATGCAGTATCTGCTTGATCTTCATCCTATGAATTATAATAATGAAAGTTACATGTATATGTACATCTACATGCATAACAAAGACAATCTACATAAAGTATAACTAAAGTAATAATAATACATGTACACATAATAAAGTAATGATTAAACTTCAAAATTGTGTTACATTATAGTCAAAGTTGAAACTGAAGCTATACACGTATTCATAAATTATTGTTAAAAATTCAATAACTATAAACAAGTACATGTACATGTATAGTACAAGTATTGTACTTGATGTTGGCATCTGTCACTGAATGTTGCTTCTGCTGTTTGTCTCTCATCAGATGTTACCATAACACCATCTAGTATTTGTAAAGAGGACAACTTGTATATCAGTAATGACCTGTGTTGCATCCTTTTCCTGTCTTTTCCTGGTTACCATCAGAAATGACTAGTAAGGCAGGCAATACAGTCTCTATCTCAGTTATGTTTGGTAGAGGACAATCCTGAGCAACTG